TATTTTTATTAATATGATATATAATATATTAATGAATTAAAACATAATATGCTGTAGATGAGATGTGAAATCGTTAAAAACGTCCGCTTAAAAAATACTATAATCTCTGTGGTATTTTTACTATCTTTCTGTCTTATAGTCAGTATTTTTTGTGTGTCATTTTGAGTTAAGATCAAAGTAAAATCCATAAGAGTACAACTATCCCTACTTTTTAAACAATACTTAAAGGCATGCGTATATTGATTGTATAGCAGAATAGTAAATAGATTAAAAATAGAAAATTCATTTAAAAATTCTAACATCAAATATAAATCTTGATTATATATGTGTTAATCATCCCTTAGTTAGTTATAATGCCCTTATCCAATCGATGGAATTTACGATTGTTGTTCGACTTAATTGGCCATCGGCTGCGCGCCGCATAGATGTAAATATTTGGTTGCCGTGTAAAGGCGATGCGGGCGCGTGCGATGTTCTTTGGTGCCTTGGCAGGATAATTTCTCGCTCCACAAATCAACTGGTATGTACGCGCCGAGCGCAATTCTAACACCCTTCAACAATAAACAGCATGTCACTTAGCTCAAACTTCAAAAGTGCGGTGCGGAGGGTAAGAAATGGCAACGCGACGCGACGTGATGTGGTGCGGCGTGGCACGGTAAGGATACAGAAGGACGATGACTACGCGCTCGCTGAGAAGGGCAGTCATCGACGTCGTTACGCGTCGCAAATGCCGCCAGCGCCAGCCAACATGCTTCCGTGCCTCGTGCCACACCATTTTTTTTTTCTTCTTGTTGTGTGCTTTTTTTATTTGTCTTTGGCGGCGGCAGCTTTTGACTCGGCATGTACAGTGGTATAAAATGTATTATATATTGTAGAATTCCAGCCAAGGGTGGGAAACAGCAGGACATTGCTGAAAATAACTTATAACAAAGGCCTACTTATGATTTTTTATAACAATCAACTTATTTTATTCAAACGATCAATTTAAAACACTTTTAATATTATTTCCTTCCTATTTAAAATCCTTAATAATAAATGAAACTTTAATTAAAATAGCTTACTCATGTTGAACAGCTGTTAAGTTGTGAACAAGTTCCTAAAATCGTATCTAAAGGAAATCATTTAATTTGCTGCGATTTTTACGTAAATCATCCCACTGTACGCTGCGAACGACAAAGTTCTGTTTGCTTGAGGGCTCGAGCTTGACAATGTCGATGGGGCAGCAGCCAGAGGTCGGCGGGGGTGTTTCTGCAGTGGTAGGGGATGTCGCACTGGCGATAATAAACAGACACACATACACAAGCAAACGAAATGACAGCTCGAGCTGAAGTGTGTCTGATGGGCGTCGTCAGGCTCAAGCTCTGGCGGCAGCTACGCTTGTTGATATTGTCGCACTTGTGCTTGTGTTCGCACAGTGGTCAAAAACGCATTAAAAGGCAGTGAATTTCGCGCTAATTCAAGCCAAAGTATATATGAAGGTCTAATAAGTATGTGTTATTAGGAGATAATCAATATATGTATGGTATGGTATATACTACTAATTTAAGCTAATATTACAGATTTTACTAGATATCTGGTCACACTGTACCTGTAAGCATTTTGATTGTCATGGCAATTCGAAAGCATTTGTCGGTAGCTCTGCCGCCCCGTCCAACGTCTGGCTCACTCACTGGCAAACAGGCAGCCCCATAACCCCCAACTTGACTGCCCCCACAATACTGGCAGCAGCTACTTGCCACATTTGGCTTTCTGCCAGGACCATGACTGTGTTGGCATCGGGTGCGGTGGGTGCAGCAACTAAAAATGCGACGTGCGAGATTATCGTGTCGCTTGTTGGTCGGCGACGTTGCCAAATACACATACACACGCACACACACACATCCACACCCATATACATGAACACTGAAGTAGTTGTTGGTGCCGTTTTTGCGGCTGTGCGACCTCCCCTAAGCCCGCGCTGGCAGAGCAACTTACGCTACTGATGGCGTTGATGATGGCAAAAGGGCAACAACAGCAACAATAACAGCAACAACAAAAAGTGTGCAGCAGCGTGCGCGCGAGGATAACGACACGAAGCGAACGCCAACGATGGCTGATGTGGATGGCATAAAACAGAAGGAGAGTGGGCAACATGCATGTGTTTGTGTGTCTGTGAGTTTGAGTGTGCGTGTGTGTGTTTGTGTGTGTCTGTGCGACTAATTGGGTGAGAGAGAATGTGGGCGCTCAAATTGGTTTCGTGCTTTCGTGTGACGCGTGCGGAGGCGTGTAAGCTTTCTGTATATGTGTGTGTGTCTGTATGGGCACACTGACTGGTTGTTGTTGCCTGGCATGAATGCTTGATGCGTGACGGCAGCGACCGCCAGTTGTTGCCAGCAATTGGAACGGACGCAGGACATTGTACGGACATGGACACAGCACAAAACAAAAAAATAGAAAGGAAAAATACAATTTGCGTCGTGTGGATGTGGATTTTATTTGTACGTTTCATTTTTTTTTTCACAAGTTTACTTTTGTTGTTTTGTGCCCTGTGCTTGGGATTTGCACGCTCGTGCAAGGACTCGACACCTAGTACCCCCAATGATCCGCCACGCCTCGCCGACCCACTCACGTTGCCTGTTTATGTCATTTTGTTTATGCTGCCCGCACCGACGCAAACTGCGCCATTTTTAAGCGACCCGTTTTAGTTTTTCTTACATACAGTTGCCGTCATCGCACCCTGCGACGCCTTCATCCTACTTCCTACCTCCCACCGCCCCCGCTCCCTTTCCTGTTTTTGTTTTGCGGCTGACTAAGTTGAATTCAACGCTGACGGCGCCGCGTGGGTAACATCTGTGTCTAGGCAGCCCTATAACGATTTTTTATTTTTGCATAAAAGTTGCATACACAAGTCAAAAGAGCGGGAGAGAGTGAGAGGCGGAGAGCGAGAGGGTGAGTGCGGTTATGTATGCAGATCGGATCAGAGAACTAAAATATGTGCTTAATTGCACTGGTTTTACGATTTTTGTTGCCATTTCTGAACTGTTGATATATAACTTTAAATAAATAGTAACCAATATAACCTTAAAGCCATTAAACTGAGGCTTGATCATTATAATGAACTAAAATCTCATTTTGAAATTTGAGCTTGCTGAAATATACTAAAATTGACCAAATGGTAGAAAGGACATCAGGTTTAGTATTTTGAATGGTTCAATTCGATTTTAAAGTGTCTAAAATAAACCAAAAATTAAAAAAGCCCTCTTGTGAAAAATTGTTTTTAATTTCTCTAGAATTGAACATATGAAAGAGAATAATCGCTTGCATTTATCGTTAAATAGTCGTTAAATCTTGCGCACTTAAACGTTTAGCGCTCTAAGAGATAAATGAACCTGTTCAAACAATGAACTACTAAACACAGTTAGAACTAACCCAAAAATCTGCCCACTAGTAAAGTGCTTCTCAACTTGACTGGCTTGAAGAAGATGTAGGAGAAGAAGGGAGGTATATAGCCATATAGCAAGTCAGTACCGCATTGGGCTTAAATCAAAAAAGCACCATAATTCGCCACAGGATGTCTGCGGCAAACTTTGCCACTGTTTCGAGTGTGGGTGCGCGATAAGGGCGACAAGTGCCAAGCGAACGCGAGAAGGAGAGAGGCATGGGGCAAGGAAGCTGGTGTAAGGAGTAGGACGCATATCGCGCTGCGCTCACTTGACGCATTTGGAGTTCCACTTGACTGTGCGACTGCGACTTGGCTAACGGCAGGGCGTTTGCTTATCCTCATGCAGCTGTGTACGTGTGTGTGTGTGTGTGTTATGCTTACACAAGTCACACGCACACTCAACACACACAGACACAGTCAGACAAACATTTTCGCATGACTCCGACAGATGGACGTTTCTCTGTTGTTGTTGTCGCACGCTTAAGTAGTATAGCAAACCCGTCACACCCACATCCACAACCGCACACACATACACACACACAGAGGCAATGGCGCCGGCAACACACAGACAACTTGCTGCGCACGCCGGATGTGAATGGAAGGCAGTTGTATGGGAAGGAGCAGTGGGGAGAACACGTAAACAGCGTTGAATTACAGCCTGACAAACGGGGCGTTGAAGTCTCGAACTTAAAAGTTATGTCTGTGTGTGTGTGGAGTGGGGCTGGGCCGGGTTAACATGCTGATGTCTGTAGGTCTGGCTGTGGGCGCACGTCTGAACCCAGCCTGTGCATCATTTATAAGCCATGCTAGGCCACAGATTGTCTCGACACACAAACCCCCTCTAAAAACAAACCCAAGCCCAATTCCAATCCCCATCCCCCTTCTACTTCCCCTGCCCTTGTCAGAAAAGCGCGCACGCAACGAAGCTGATGATGAGTGCACGCCAGCCATAACTTGATGACTCTGCGGGCAGGATGAGGACAAGCAGTATAGCCCACTAGGCTTAAGGTGTCACGTGCGCCGGCTCCTTGCTGCTGCTGCTTTGGCTATGGCTGTGGCTGTTTGTGCACATAATTCATGCGACCAAGTTGAAATGAACAGCAATTTATTGAATAATACTTTCTCGCCATGAGGTCAATATACAATAGATGAGGTCGGCAACAGCACCAAACGATCAGCTAACATCGAGCTTTGGGAATTCAAATGCGGTGCACATGTCGAATTATGACTGTAACATTTGCCCAGCTATCAGCTTATATGTGGCTAGGTGGGAGTTTATGTATATATTATGATATATCAAATTGAGTGGTCTAGGTGGAGACCTGATCTGGATTCAAATCCCAGGTTAGTCAACGCTCTCTATAGGGTAGACCTTGTCTAGATACTTTATCGAACTATTTGTGTATACCAAGCCCATTTACACAGAAGAAGACATGGCCTACCCTATAGAGAGCTAAAAGCTGGACTCCAAAAGATTATTTATAAATGTTGGTAATTATTTACCTTCTTGAAGTTTTAACGTTAGAATTTTGGCAATTAATAATCAACATTTTTGATTGTAATTTGTTATTTATTATTTTCCATTTTACTGTACTCTTATTTTAAATTCTATTTCAGTTTGCTTTCATTAATTCTAAGACAAACTTAAGTTTTTGAAGCAAGTCCTCGAATATTTTGCTTAGCAGATCCTACTACGATTAAAGTTATGCTTAGTATACATTTTAATTCAATAAGCTTCGCTGAGGACTTTAAAATATTTCATCTTTCGCTTTAGCTTCCCTACTTCTTCTTGGGCAACATGGCAGCTGGGCAGATATTGTTATTTAAACACTCTGAGCAATTGGGCCTAACAGGCGTACAAATTGTTTGCCCAAAGCCAACAAGCAAATGATTTACCTCTGCCCAGAGTGGACGTGGCAGCCAGCTCTCAAGCTGAATGCGCGTTTGTTCCGGCTCCTTGGTGGGCTTCTTTAACCAAGCCAAACGATTGGCAATACGATGCACGTGTGTATCGACGCCAATGCCTGTAATTTCTTGCCAAGCCGTGGCCATGCAGATGTGTGCCATTTTGGGACCAACTCCAGGCAGCTTCAAGAGTTCCTTGATATTATTCGGAATGTCCTCGTTGTACTGGTCGACAAGTATTTCTGATGTTTGCTTTAGGTATTTGGCTTTGTTCTAGAAAAAGATAGTACCTAAATAAGTTATTTTCTTTTTCAGATTCATGATGTTTGCGCACTTTATAGAAGCTAACAGGATGCAGTAAACGCTCCAGCTCAGCGACAGGCAGATCCTTTATGCGCGCAGGTGTTAGAGTCTGAGCCTTCAAGCGTTTCATTGCTTCAAAAGTGGTTTCATCTTTCGTCTGGCTGGACAGCATAAGACCCACCAATATATGAAAGCGTTGCGTCTATCAATGAAGCGTAGAGTTAAGTTTGAGTGACTTATATGACATGAAATATACCTTTTCGTTGGCACTGGCATCGGCACATTTATGGCATCCCATTGTATCAACTGGTGCAAGCTTTACGTTTCGCATCAATCGAATATTTTCCAAATGCTGCAGCCAGTTAAGGTTTGGAAACTCTTGTTCGGTCTTGACTGCGCCAGCTGGTTCTATTTTCATATCTGGTGTGCTCTCACTTTCCGGTACTACTTCACATTTTATAATGGTTGCTGTGCCCATTTGAATCTTTGTGGTTTTTGAAATTTCTGCAAGGCGGGATTTTTTGGCGGGCAAATTCGATTTTGGCAGCGCATTCAGTTGTCGTTGTTTCCGTGTTTGCACAGGTGAAAAGTAACGTGAGCCACCTTTAGCAGCAACGCTTGGCAATTCCTCAATGTCCTGAAGGCAAAATATTGTATGAAAATTCCAAATTAAAGATAATTTATCGTACTCACCCATAATTCCGACTTCACAGTTGGTTTCTCTGGCTTAACTTGCTTCGCCAATTTGCTTGACAGGGTTGAGTTTTTGCTTGCCATGGCTCTAATGCCACTTTTGTATAAATATTTCATGCAACTTTACGAAATACACAAAATATTACTAAATAATAATAAAAACCAAATTTGCGGCCGGCTAACAGTATGACCGTTTACGTTAGTGCTCAACAGCTGTTTTGTGTTTATAAAAGTTACCAGGGATGACACATTCGTTAAGTGTGGAGCATCTGCTTCTAGTATTTTTCATATTTTTTGCAACACCTACACTTTAACTTGTTTGCAATTTGCAGCCACACTGTTTTACATTCATAAAATTAAAGTAAAATTATCTTTAAGGTACAATTTCGGTTAAGAAAACTAAATTAACAGCTTGCTACGTTACGGCATTTAGATAACGGGTTGTACTAAATTATATAGTTAACATAATCATATATAAAACAACACATTATGCTAAATTGTGTGACAAATTGTGCCTGATACGGGTTTTGTGTGTATTATAAAACAAATACAAAAAGTAATTAATAATAGTACAAGTCACAAAAAGCTTACGCACACTGAAATGCATTGAAAGATCTAAAGAAAAAAGTGTAAAACGATTAGTGGAATTAAAGTGTAAAAACGACATTATAATACTGCCACCCAGCACACATACAACACACACACACAAACACACAATTGTACATTCGGACGGAAGCGAAAAATTGCATTGGTAAGTTGTGTGTGTCCCCATCACAACAAATAACAAACAAATTATTATAATTTTGAAATAATTTGTTATCGCGTGTTGCTGTCTTGTGGAAAATATGCATAATCGTTGAATGGAATTTGAGCATTTCCTCAATAAATACATGTCTATATCTATCTATGTATATGAATGTGAGTGTAGATATGCTAATATATAGGGTATATGTATCCATATGTCTTATCTCATGCGTCACTTCAATTTCTCAGTTTGCCGTCCGACTCCTGCAGTGCAGAGACAATGAGGACAACAGTTTCTACTTATATCTTAATCATTATCAATGCTGATTCATAATTTCTACCCCTATTCAAAGAAATTTCTACATCCAAATGTTTGTCATTCGGCGACTAATAGTGAGAAGCGCATGCCAAAGTGCAAATAAAATGGGGTTTTTCTTGTAATTTCCTTAATTTTTCATTTAGCACATCTGGTTGGTTAGTTAACCCATTTATCGACGGCATTGTATAATTTATTTTTAAAGTGCACTTTATAATAGGAATTACTGTTTAACTACCGTATTCAGGTGAAACAACCGGTGCCGGCCTTTTCCTCTCTGTTGGTTGCCAAAAAAATGTAATATTCTGTTACTTTAAAATACTTAAAATACTAATCCACAGAAAATACTACTCAAATACTCAAATATTAAGTAATAGTATTTAGGTAAATAATTCAATTTGTATGCAACGCGCGATGCCCGCATTGCACTTCCCTTTTTGAAAAAAAAAAAAGAAAAAATACGCAGCGACCCGCGTCATCTCTAAATACATATGTATGTATGTAGAATTTCCAGTTAGACATGCGCTGATTTTGTCGTTTGACCCAAATATATTCGCTGCTCAGCCCGCCCTCCTGCATATTTATCAATGATTTAATATACATTACTATATATATTTCTTTATATATTATATAAATTTTTCAGGCGACCGAGACGCAACAAATAATTACTGGAATGCGCGCCTCCATTCCGCCCGGTGTACGTGTCGTACGCGGCCCAAATTGGATTTGGTCGAACCAAGGTAGGATGTTACTTATTTTTGTTTACCCAATTCAGGCATTGACTAGCTAAAACAATTTGTTTATAATATGTTCAATTATATACCTATATACCTGTGTGTATAAGTGTGTGAATACACACACTAAACGATCAGCACTTTGATTGCTGCCAATGAGTGCAAAGAGGACGGGGCGCTATTTTTAGCCACACTCACAGCGGAATGTTTCCCAAATCTCTGTCTCTGCATTTTAAACACACATAATATAGCAAATGTGGGGGAGGGGCTGCGAGGGTAGGGGTAGGGTGCACACACATGTGCCTCTTGCCACATTGTTTGTACTTCGCTGTCATAAAAGAAGTCGAACGGCTGCGTTTGTCGACTGTTAAGGCGCGTGCCATTTGAATATGTTTTATTTTTAAACATGGGACATTAAAGACGTTGCCAGGAGTATATATGTTGTATTGCAAGGGAGAAAACAACGATATAAATAGCTTTAGTCAGGAATTTATAGTTCAACTTCCTTTCTTCATGTTCTTATTCAATTTCTGTTATTCCTACTACAACTGCTCGCTGTTAGCTGTCAGCTGTTAACTAACATTTTTATGTAACAAAGTTTTTGAGTAACATTTTTATTGAATGTTACGATATATATTTGCTATAAACTACTTATAAGATTGCAGTCGTAAAATAAAAGCAAAGATTCAACAAATTCAAACAATTTTCAATTGCTTATAATGTATAAATAGCATGAATTTACATTAACAGCCTAACGTTAACATTGTGAGTGCTAAACAGTTTACAGTCCTGCCCCAACTTAAAGTGCGTGTCAAAAATAAATCAAACGACTGCCTATTAAGAAAGAGAATTGGGGGTCTTGTTGAGTTGTTTAAATATAGAGTGCAGCTGCATGCGCCGTATTTGTGTATCCAACTGAAATTCCTATATAACTTGTCTTGTTTGCTGGGACAGATGTTTGGCAAGAGCCAGAGAGCCATAGTCTGTCTGCCGGATGAAGCATTTCCTTGGTACTTTGTGTAGTTTTTGGGGTGCGCGGCGTCTTATAAATAGCTCTAGAGCTGTCGGAAACTAGGGAGAACTGCTGTGGATAGAATAACCAAGAGACTGAGCTCCATTACAGAAATTTACTTTAATTGTATTTTATATTCCAACCAACAGACGACGGAGAAGGTCACGTTGGCACCGTTTGTGAAATTGGACGCTGTGGATCGACACATTCACCGGAGAACACGGTTGTGGTTAATTGGGATTCTGGACATCGCACCAACTACAGAGTGGGCTATCAAAGTCAATACGATTTGATAATTGTGGATAATGCACAAGTTGGTAAGGGAATAGCTGCTTTAGTTTTCCATCAATCATTTCTGAATGCTTTGTCTACTTTTTCAAGGTGTTCGTCATTCAAATGTTGTTTGTGATGGCTGCTCCAAGGCGGGCATAGCTGGCATTGTATTCAAGTGCGCTCAATGCACGAATTATCATTTGTGTGCCTTCTGCTACGGCGGTAATATTCACGACTTAGAGCACACTTTTGTGCGATACACTACCCCGACTTCATTGGGTGTACGCGTTCCGGCAAGGAAAGGCTCACAGCGCATACAACTGCGTGGCATTTTTGTGGGCTCGAAGGTTGTGCGCGGCCCGGACTGGGAGTGGAACGATCAGGACGGCGGTGAGGGTAAAACGGGTCGGGTTATGGAAATACGTGGCTGGGACAACGAATCGTGTCGCAGTGTAGCCAACGTATCGTGGGTAACGGGTTCAACGAACGTCTATCGTTTAGGCCACAAAGGAAACGTGGATCTTAAGTATATAGCAGCAACTTGCGGTGGTTATTACTACAAGGATCATATGCCAGTTCTGGGACAACCCGAGGAACAGCAGCCCATCGTGGCCATGGTCAAGCCAAGCTTCTCTGTGGGCGATCGCGTCAAGGTGTGTCTCGAGGTAGACGCGTTGATGAAGCTGCAACAAGGGCACGGTGGCTGGAATCCGCGTATGGTCGAGCATCTGGCCAAGCTGGGCACAGTGCATCGCATCACCGAAAAGGGAGATATACGGTTAGCATAACAAGCATTTGAAAAAAATATAAATTATTTAATAATTCACTATATACCTTATATATAGAGTCCAATATGAAAACTGTCCCAATCGTTGGACCTTCCACCCCGCCGCCCTCGTCAAAGTGGTTTCGTTTCGCGTGGGCGATTTAGTGACAATCATAAGCGATGCATCTAAAGTGCAGCAGCTGCAAAAGGGACACGGCGAATGGATTGATATCATGCGCTATGTAAGAACTCTTAAATGTGAAACGAAAGATATATAACTAAATCGTGTTGCTTTGCATTAGGCTCTGGGCAAGCTTTGTAAAGTGGTTAAAGTATATTCGGATGGTGATCTGCGCATACAGCAGCTGGATGATGGCTTCGAATGGACACTGAATCCCAAATGTGTTAAGCTGGAGCGCTCACCATTGGCCACTGCAGCTGAACGTTCCAATAGCATGATGGATCTGAGCCATCGCCGTACGGATCATGTGATGACACCACTATCGGGTCTCTCTGGCAGTTCGGTGCCCGACAAGCTGGTCCGAGAAGCGGCCCAGGGCCATTTGGATTTTGTGAAGCAATATCTGGATGTGAATCCTAGTCAAGTGGATGTGATGAGTGGCGGCAAGGCCTGCATACAGGTGGCCTCCCATCAGGGTTATGTCGAGCTGGTCACCTACCTCATCTCTAAGGGCGCCAATGTGAATGTGGTGGACAAGGAAGGCGATTCAGCTCTACACTATGCCGCCTTTGGTAATCAGCCCGAGACGATGCGCGTACTGCTCGAGCATGGCGCCGAGGTGAATTTCCTCAATTCAAGCCACTGTTCGGCTCTGCACATTTGCGCGCACAAAAAAACGCCTCATTGCGTGCGAGAACTGTTGCAGCACAATGCGAACGTCAATATTCAGGATTCGTATGGAGATACAGCACTGCACGATGCCATTGGAAAGGAGAATACGGAAGTCGTGGAGCTGCTTTGCAATGCACCAAATTTAGATTTTACTGTGAAAAACAACCGTGGCTTCAATGTGCTTCATCATGCGGCTCTGAAGGGCAACGTGGTGGCTGCTCGCCGCATTCTTCAGCTATCACGCCAATTAGTCAATGTGCGCAAGGATGATGGCTTTGCAGCACTGCACCTGGCTGCTCTAAACGGACATGCACAAGTGGTGGAGACATTGGTCACCGAAGGACAGGCCGAACTAGATATACGCAACAATCGACGACAAACACCATTCTTGTTGGCTGTCTCCCAAGGACATGCGAGCGTTATAGAGCGCCTGGTTAAGCTATCGTGCGATATAAATGCCAAGGATGAGGATGGCGACAATGCCATGCATCTGTGCGTCATTAAGAAATCCAATTTACAGCAGGCCGCCGATCCCTCACCAGACGAGGCACCCGAAATACACAAGTTCTTCGTCAGCCTCGCCCAGACGAGCGTACGCAGTGAGGATCGTTTGATGTACAGTGTACTGATCTATCTGTCACGTCATGGCTGTCGAGTCGAGCTGAACAATGCGAACGCTAGCATCTTTGAATGGATCACTGATCGCAATATACGACAGTTAATTTTTGGTCAGCAAACGGTGGAACCAAATGTGCCAACGACAGCTCCAACGCCACTGCAGCGCAATATGCAAGCCTTAGATATAAGAGCAGCAGATGAAACGCCACCGAACGTTGCTGGCGATGAAGCAGTGGCGACAGTTAGTGCAAGCACATTAACTTTACCACCACCGCCGCCGAAACCTAGTGAGGTATCACCCGCGGCAGCTGGTCTACAGCCTTCACCGGGCAACAAGAAACTGAATTCGGATGCAGCCAGCACTGGCGCGTCGCCCCAGATAGCGCCACGTAAAAAGGCGCCCAAACCGCCAGTGCAATCTGGATCAGAAACATCGGGAGCAACGAGCAGCGAGTCAAGCGGATCGCTGAAGGCATCGCTGGCAGGTGCAACAGCAGCTTTGCCGGGCATAATATCTAGCCAGCCGGAGTGCATTGTCTGCAATGAGCCGCTACAGTTGGTGCGCTTTGGTATGATTAAATGTCATTTAAATATAGATTTCATCTGGTAACCATATATATCTTCTTGTAGAGCCCTGCCTGCATCAGATCGCTTGCGAGGAATGCAGCATACGCATGAAGAAATGTTTACGATGTGGCGTTGCCATTGAGCGACGCATCGATGTCAACGGTCGCCAAGTTGTTGGCCATCAATTGTCATCGACAGCGTCGCCCAGCGATCAGGCACGTTTGCCATCAGGCGATCTGTTGCGTTATCTTGAAAACAAGGTGCAGGAATTCGAGGAATCACATTTTTGTGGAATATGTATGGAACGTAAACGGGATGTGGCCTTCCTTTGTGGCCATGGAGCGTGCTCCCATTGTGCCGAAACATTACGCACCTGCCACATGTGCCGCAAGACAATACTGAAGAAGATCAATCTGTACTGAGCACTTACTCAGTGCACTCTAGCAATACGCAACCAAAGTGGCTTGTATATATACATATATAACATAAATATGTTAACAATTTAATTATTATCAAGGATTTACGTTGCGTGCCAACCACACCAGCTGATACCATCATTCGTTCCAGAAACCTTCAAGCATGAATTTACTATCCAACTTTATTATTTATTAAATACCACCAACAACAACAACAATTATTTTGCACGCACACACAAACATGTCGAAACACGCACATGCACATACACATGTCTATATTCTACTAGCATCGTTTAACGACAACGAAACCCCAACTAAAATATGATTAGATGATTAATAATATAAGCATTTTAATTGCAATTTATTGATATACAGAAATTTATTGCTAAAGCGATCTTAACTTTATAAAGATTACACAGGAATCGACATTATTAATATACAACAAAATAATATTTAACTACCGGGGTAAGTTGCAAGTTTTTATTACAAACAATTTAGAGTAGATCTAGTATATATGAAAAGTACTCAGATTGGATTCCTTATAAGACTAGTGTTGCCTGCCAAGTCAGTTAAATTTATTATAAATAAAAGTAAAATAAAACGTAACGGTGTTTTGCGTATATAACTAGTTTAGCACAGTATAATACCATATAAAATACTGCACTCCATCGATAGAAATTGAGCTGAGTATCGATAATGTATATATAAATGAGTACATATCGTTTTGGTTAGTAGCCGTACTTCAACAGAACGCAAAAGAAAATCACACACGTCACAACTTACTAATAAAAAAATAAAACGTGCCTACGCGTATCTATAAAAAATCCGGACATGTCAAAACAATTGGCTGATTATCAGCCAACAAAGTTGCAATTCTATAAGAAGATAGCACTTGGCATTTTACTAATAGCCATACTGCTATCCCTGCCGGCAATATGCCAGAGTCAACATAATCCCAGTTTTAAATACTCGCGCGAAGCAAATGAAAATTTTGATGCTAAAAATGCGCCGCCAGCGTCACACGAACATCATCACCATGACCATCACGACCACGATCACGCCCATCATGACCATCACGACCACCACGACCATCACGACCATCATGACCATCATGACCATCATGACCATCATGACCATCATGACCATCATGAACATCATGAACATCAGCACACGAAGTCTGAACCGCTGGGTGAGCATTCGGTGCCTCTTGCTGATAAACATATATAGTTATTGTAATGGATTTTTTCTAATAGATATGAAGAGCATTTGGCTGCACTCTATTGGTTCTACGCTGCTTATCAGTGCTGCTCCCTTTGTACTGCTCTACATTATACCTCTCGATAATAGCGAGGCAATGAAGCCGCGTCTTAAGGTTTTGTTGGCGTTTGCTTCCGGTGGTTTGTTGGGCGATGCGTTCCTACATTTGATACCACATGCAACACATCCGCATAGCCATAGTGACCACGACCATGATCATGGACATTCCCACGATCATCACCATCACCATGCGGATGGCGAGGATGGACATGGGCACGTGCATGATATGAGCGTCGGCCTCTGGGTACTAGGAGGCATTATTGCTTTCCTGTCTGTGGAGAAAATCGTGCGAATACTGAAAGGAGGTGGATCGGGTGGACATGGACATAGTCATGGTGCACCAAAGCCCAAGCCAGTGGTAAAGGAAAAAGACGTCTCTGAGAGTAAGAAGAAGTCGGCGTTAAAGCCAACACAAACGGAGGTCAAGAAAACGGATGATGAAGGCGAAGTGGAAATATCTGGATATCTGAATTTAGCTGCAGATTTTGCGCACAATTTCACCGATGGCTTGGCCATTGGCGCCTCCTATCTCGCAGGCAATAGTATTGGTATAGTTACCACCATAACCATACTGTTACATGAGGTGCCGCATGAAATCGGCGACTTTGCCATACTCATCAAGTCGGGCTGCTCGCGTCGTAAAGCTATGCTGCTGCAGCTAGTGACTGCGCTGGGCGCATTGGCGGGTACAGCGTTGGCTCTGATTGGAGCGGGCAGCAGCGACGGTAGTTCAGCGCCCTGGGTGCTGCCTTTCACAGCGGGTGGCTTCATTTACATAGCCACTGTGAGTGTGCTGCCCGAGCTGTTGGAAGAGTCGACAAAGCTGAAGCAATCCTTGAAGGAAATTGTGGCGCTACTAACAGGCGTCGCATTAATGATTGTTATAGCTAAATTTGAATAATTAATGCAACCGTTTAGTTTCTTAAATATGGCCCGAATGTACTTCCTGTTAAAAAATTTGTGGGCACATAAAATAATACATGAAAAGAAAAATCTATAACACAGTGTAAATCTATGTAACTGAACTTTTAGAGTAGGAATATATTTGCGATATTTTGCCTTTAGATTTAATCTTATAAATTCCACGAACTAGTTGTATTTTATACACAAAGGTAAAAATTGTATTAATTTAGTTAGAAACTGCTTAGACCTTTGTGGTTGATTTAATTTCATTCAGACAATACTCGGCTTGTTCGATAGCATCTGCATTTGAGTTTCTCTGACCTATATTCCAGGCAAGCTTGCAAAGCTTTTCAGCTTCACTAAGCAGACCTTCGCGTAGATAAACTAAGCCCAAATTAGCCTGTATGACGCCTTCCTGGGCGGAATCCTTCAACTCCTTCGCTATCTGCAGTGCGCGTAAAAGTGTTTCCTTGGCTTCAGCATACTTTTCTAGCTATTAAACACAATATTTCTTAATAAAAATATGTTTTGTAAGATATTCAAAATCGAACTTACATTTACGTAGGCTACGCTAATGTTATTTAGAATAGTGACCGAGGCATCGTTCAGGGTTCCGTACACGTCAATGAGAATATCCAGAGCCTCTTTGAATAGATTCTTGGCCTCCTCATATTTGCCTTGCTTCATCAGAAGCTGTCCAAACCTGCGTAATCGTAATCAAATGTATTGTTAGTCGAATCTTACTCAGTTGAATAATTCATTTGGATTTCAAAAGAAGCATGGAACAACCTTCAATACCAGTTCTTAGTCAAACCATATAGCTCCAGTACATCACTGTTCTCTGGCAATTCCTTTACCAGTTTGGCCAGTCTTTGCAGCGTCCATGTGAAACCCTGGAAGCTCTTCACTAGATCACCCTGCAGCTGTGACATGTGCGCAATTTTGGCACTGATGTGCAATATCTTGACATTATCTTCTGTATAACCCTCGGCCATGAGACGCTTCATTACATCTACAAAAAGGGCTTCTGCTTTTTTGAACTGTTCTCGTTCCATCGCGAGATTGGCCATTACGTCGTATACATAGGTAATTCCGTTTGCCGACTGAATATCTTGTGCCATGCGAAGTGCAAGATGTAACATCTGCTCTGCCTTGTCGTACTGCTGTTTCTGTATACATATTATGGAACGTTTTATGGTATTCACTAGCTTTGTTTCGGGCGTCTCTTCCTCTTTGTCACCACCGCCAAACAAATTGAAGCTAAAAGCGGCCGTAAATACCAGACCGGGGTGAGTATATGTGGAGTTTCGTTCGGATTGCTTCTGATGTCGTTGCTTCTGCTGCTGATGGTGGTTGTAAACAGAACATAATGTTCGTGATCGTTGCACCATGGATTTGCAACTGCTATGCGCTTTGATTGTATAGTCATTTGGATTGGCAACCATGGAGCGCATGAAGTGCATGCGGAACAGCACTTGTGATAGTTTACCAAAATACTTCACCATCTTTTTGTAATACAATGCATTCTATAATTAACTTATAATTTATACAGCCAATCCGTTTACTCGGTCGGTCGGTTGGCTGTTCAGCCCAATTACGAAATATACGGCAAAACAGTGTTGTAAAGAACGGGCTGTTACTGTTTCATTAGTATATAACGAATTAAAAAAATAATAATAGAACCAAACAAACTAACATTTTACATTAATTTTCGGATCTTCATTTAAATTATATTATTTTAATGTTTTAAAATATGACACATCTGCTCAATTAATTATAATTTGACCAGTATGTCTGAGCCTGAATTAAAATTTTTACAAAACCAAATTATGTGTATGTATTTAGACAATACTGAAACTATCAAAACTCTATTAATTTAATCCTGTTACCTAGTAACAGTTATAACCTTATAATTCATATAGCTTAATCTACCGCACATTAAAATTATCGATAGCAAGAATATGCGATAGTTTAGAAGCATAGATTGCTACTGAAAACGCAACCCTACCTATTGATGGCGGATTGACGCTTTTCGCTGGCAACAAAAAATTTTCTTTTACAAGTAATCAAAAACGTTGCACGCCGCAAATTAAGAAGAGAATTGTGCGTGCGATTAAATCGCGTACTACCGACGTCTAAAAATAAGTGCAATTGCATTTTATTTCAGTGTTTTGTCATCAGTGGCATTAGTGTACGGCACGAGCAGTATTTTTTTTAGTTGCAGCTATGAGACGTCGTAGCGAGCGAAAAAAATCTACTTCGCCTGCACCTTTGCCGGCACGTCGCAGTCGCCGATCACGTAAAATATCGGAAAATGAAAAAAACGAAGATGAGACGCTTGTGGAAAAAATAGAAGAAACAAAAGCGCCACCAATTATTGAAGAAATCAATGAGGAGCGCGGAGAACAGCGAGCGTCAAGCGAAGAACGTGCCGTCGTATCGCCAGTGCGCAAAAGCCGCACCACACGCACGACACCTAAAAAGCGCCAAAGCGCTAGCAGTCAGCGCGAAAAAAGTAGCGAGCGTAAGGTGGAAACCATACCTGAGGAAGTAGAAAATGGCTCTGATGCGGTGGTAGTAGCGCAGGCGGAGACGGAGGCGGAGGCGAGTTCCACCAAAAATAATTCCGATATCGATAACAAAGTATCGGTCGAAAGGGAAACAGCCAACAAACCCGATGAACCGCAAGCCGAACAGGAACTGCAGAAGAAGGAAGAGGAAACAAAACCCGAAACAGATACAACGGATACCATAAAAAAGCCGAACAAACTGGTAGATGACGAAGAGAAGTCGCAGGAGAAGTGCGTGAAGGAACACAGTGATGATGAAGCTGACGCTAAGGGAGCGCAGGAAACGGGAAAGGATAAGGAGAGCAGAAGTGAGCCTATCGTGGAGGAAGAGGTAAAAGTTGCGTCTTCTTTAAGCTTAACAGCAAGTAAGGATGAAGTACATCTAAAAACCACAAGCGATGTATTAGACATTCAAACAGAGGACATGGAAGAGAGGAATACCGATAGACCAGACCAAGCGGATCAGCCCAAAGTGGATGACAACCAAACGCCGGTCAAAATTGATGAGCAGAGGGAGAATCACACTGAAAGCGGCGAGCAATCAGTAGAAAAGCTAACTAACAAGGAGCATACAAACAGCGATAAACTGGAAAATATAACACAGCAGCGGTCCATACGCAAACGCAAATGGCTGAGCAAAAAAGTGGCCGAACGCGCGCCGCCTGTGTTGGCCATATCAACCGATTCACTCAAGAACATTATAGCAGACGTGGTGAATCCAGTGCCACTCAGTGATGTGCAATTGGAGTCATCGTCAGAAGAAGAGGGCCTTGTTACCAGCGATCATGACACAGACGAACGTTCGTTAACCCCAGAACTGCGTGTCACAAAAGACCGGGATGATGGCAATGCGACTGATGAGGAACATCAACAGAAACAGAAATCGCAACCAAAATCGAATCATGAGAAGGAAGCGGTGCCAACGGTACCAGCTTTAAGTAAAACAGCCATCGAGCCCGCCGTCTCTAAAGCAAGTGCTGTTGCCCGCTCACCCAGTCCGGCACGCAATCGTGCCAGCCACGTGCTCTTCATTACCAATTTGGTGCGTCCGTTTACGGTGCTGCAGCTGAAGGGTCTGTTGGCGCGCACGGGTAAGATCATCGACGAGGATGGCTTCTGGATCGATCGCATCAAGTCGAAGTGTTATGTTGCATATGCCACAGAGGAGTACGTCCCTTAACTTAATTTCATAAACCTATCAACATGCTAACTTACGTTATTCTATTTTCAGCGAAGCTATTGAAACACGTCATGCTTTACATGGTGTACGTTGGCCAGTCTCAAATCCCAAGTGCTTGAATGTCGATTTTGGAAGCCGTACAGACATGGATCGTGCTATACAATCGACAAAGAACGAAGCACCCAAATATCAACAGGACAATACTAGAGATAATCAACACGCGGGCAACACTTGGGCACGTTTGGATGCAAGCGATAAAAAGGTATGGTTGGCGCGAGGAATCTTTATTGAAACATTAGTAAATCCACTTTTTAACAGCCAGCACGTCCAGTGCGCGAATGGGATGTCGGTAAAAAGGAGCCGAATGAGCGCGATAAATCGAGCAATGACAGACGCCGCAGCAGCAAGGAGCGAGTGGAGTCCAGATTACGTGAATCGGATCGTGGTAAAGGGGCTGATGATTTGGAGCGCGCTGGACAGGATCGAAAACGGTCACGAGAGCGCGAACGTGGTGGACGCGAACGGGAACGCGAACGCAGTGAACAACGTGTACATGGACGTAGCAGGAGCGGATCACCAGGTAAGCAGTAGCTTAGCATTAAACCGATTAATATATGGTAATAATTAAGATCTAAACACAGCGTTAAAATCAAGAAAGAAGGAGAATGAACCACCCATCAGACTATTAGATGATTTATTTCGCAAAACGAAGGGAACGCCTTGCATATATTGGCTGCCCCTGACACCGGAAGCTGTAAGTGAATGTAAATAGAAACGGTTCAATTTATATCCCTTATTCCGTTTTAATTTGCATAACAGATTGCCGAAAAGGAGGCGTTCCGTCAGAAGCGTATTGAGGAGCACAAACAGCGTATTAAGGAACGTGAGGAGCGCCTCAAGGAACGTGAACGTGAAAAGGACCGCGATCGTCAGCGAGATAATCGCCGCAATCGTTCAAACGAGCGTAGGCGCTCGCGCAGTCGCGATCGGGAGCGGCGGCGTTACTAGACAGTAACTAAATGAACAAGCGAAATAAAACAAATGAAGTAAACTCGACAACAAAAATTTTAAAGCAACAAATAACAAAAAAAAAGATGAAAAAATAGCAAACATATACAGCAACGTTCGTTTCAAGTGCTTTCTCCTGGAAGTTCGAACCATTTTATTTCTGAGTTGAAAATATTCAATTTGAAGTCAAAATAAGCTTCAAGTTGAATATTCCCCCAATAACTCAACGAAGAAACTTAATGAGATTTACAATTTCTTTCTTTTTCCTCCCCCATTTCTATTTGCTGTTCTATATATACCTACATATATATATATATACATAACTTGATTTGATTTCTTTCCCAAATGTAGCTTTTTACAGTGCAACAGCAACAACTACTACAACAACAATTACACCAAGCAGATCAACAGGCGACAGTCAGTCAATAGAACGGCGACAATCGCGGTACTCTTGGATATGTCTCTGCCTCGAAGTCCTAAAACTGTAGCCGCAAGTGTTTAATTTCGCCTCTTATACATAAATAATTATATATATACATATATACTTAAACAGCAAAATGCAAATTAATTAACTGAATTATTGTAACTAATTGAAATTTTTAAACAACTTAAATATAACTAAATCACAGAAGGCAAGCTTGTGACAATGCCAAAAATTTAACATCTCTTTATTCTGACACAATGTATACTGCACACATAGTAATGATATCGTTGAATAGGAATCTAAATTTGAATCTAAAAAATATATATTATTTTTCCTACTTTAAATAGTTGTCTTTAAAATTGTAGTGAAGGTTTCCTAAACACTTCTCAACAATTCATTTTTAATATAAGTATTCAACTTTGAACAGTCTGTAAAATAAGAAATAAGCAAAGGCATTAAACGTTAACCAAATTAGTTTTATTATTCAAAAACAAATAATGTATTTGAACATTTAAAAATACGCTTCCAAAGTACTCGATCCCTATAAGTAAAAATATATCGATACCCTGTAAAGCTGTATTTCGATTAAAATCAAGTCGGTCAAAGGAATACTTGTAATCGCTATCGAATTAATTCATTAAAATTTTTCATTGAAAGAAACGAAAAAATGTGGTCTGATACCTTTCTGATTGTATTTATATCAATATGCACGGCATTTTTGGGTGAAGGTATGTATTAATAAGAAATAACAATATGTAAATGCAGTTATTAAAAGAAATCAATATACACGTATTCATTTATAGGACTTACATGGGTGCTGGTCTACCGCACTGAGAAGTACCAGCGGCTAAAGACAGAAGTGGATAAACAGAGCAAGAAGTGTACGTAGATTAGCTGTGCAGTTTCGGTTAAAGTTGTAAGCTAATTGTCACGTGATTTACATTTAGTGGAGCGGAGAAAGGAGACACATGGCGATTCTTTGGATAAATCCGTAAAAAAGAAACTCGAACGTTACGAAGAGAAATTAAAGAATAACAATCGCGACTTATCGCTGGTGAAGATGAAGTCTATGTTTGCTACTGGATTTGCATTCACCGCCTTGTTGAGTATGTTCAACAGTATATTCGATGGACGTGTTGTGGCCCAATTGCCTTTCACACCTATCTCTTGGATACAGGGCTTGAGCCATCGCAATTTGTCGGGTGATGATTACACCGACTGTTCGTTCATCTTCCTCTATATACTTTGCACCATGTCCATTCGGCAAAACATTCAAAAACTCTTGGGCTTTGCACCGTCGCGGGCTGCTAGTAAACAAGGTGGCGGCCTCTTTGGCCCGGCACCAGGTCAATTTAAATAGGTATTCTTTTATTGATTTTTTTCCTAGCTAAATTTCGGATTGGATTTTTGTTAAAAAGGCCACATACAATAAATTACATTTTAATTTAAAGCATTAAACTCATACATGGGCTTATCAACAATTAGTCGGTCAAAGCCCAACCGCGACAAATCCAAAGTGCGAAACTGTCCGTCCATAATAAGCTCTGAAATGGCTCTACCCAGCGCCGGCGTCTGCTGTATACCCTGCCCACTGAAGCCACTGGCAATATAAAGATTATGATAGTATGGATGCGGTCCTAAGATGCCATTATCGTCGTACACGTTGTAATCGTAAAGGCCGGCCATGCAACTGACTAAATCAGCGGTTGCAAAAGCGGGTATACGGTCGGCCAACATTGGGCGCATCTTCTCATTGAAGTATGATGTGCTCACATCTAAATTATCGCCACTCACTTCCTCATCCGGAAAAGCGTTGTGCCCGCATACGTAGTCGCCGCCCAAGCCCAGTCGACGAATATATGTGCCTGTCGTTGAGTCCACAACCATGGGCATTGCCATTCCAGGGATATTTTGATCCTGTGTGTTTATTTTATACATATAACGCTTGCGCGCCTCTATGGGCAAGGGCAAGTGCAGCACTCCCTCGCCATGCCCAATATGTGCTAGACGTGCCACAGCTTTACTATTTACGCCCGCTGCGATGACGCATAGAGCAAACTTAATGCTGCGCTGTGCGCCACCTGGCTGCTGGATGATCACCTTGTCCAGACTTTGGTAACCACTTCTTTCAGCGCCTGTAACAATGATATCGCCCTGATTTTCAAACTCAAAGTCGATAGCTTCGCCATGCACAAAATGCGCACCATAGCCATGGGCAGCCCGTTTATAATTGGCTAAGAGCGCCCAGGGATCAAACCACCCTTCACGTTCCTGCCCGATGCAGCCGAGTGCAATGCCTTTAGTGTTTAACCACGGAAATCTGGAGGCCAAACGATCCACTGTGAGCAACTCATTCCGTGCGCCCAGCTCGTTTTGCAGATGTGATGTTTGCTTCATCATCTCCGCGTCCTCCTCGCTGGCAAGCACTAGCTGTCCATATGGCACATACTTAATTGGTATATTTGTGCCAAAGTTTTCAGGCGCTTCACGTAGAAAGTCAGCACCAAACAAAGACATTTGTATTGTTTCAGGCAGTGAGAAATGATGGGACAGGCCATTGATGGACACACGTGTTGCGGATTTCTCATGCTGAAATCATAGCGAAACTGAAATGCTTTCTTTATTTATTTGTATTAAAATTTCCACACACACCTTGATATCCTTTTCTACTACAACTACGTTGAGACCATTGCGTGCCTTTTGTTTTAGCCAATAGGCAATGGAGCTGCCTATTCCTCCACCTCCTATAATCAGCACATCGCAATGTGTCGGGAATTCCTCGATACTTCCCTTGTCGCCGCCGAACTTGAATTTATTATTTGTAGCTATAGACTGGGTCTTGGACTCATTCTCATACTTATCCTCTTTTGGAACAAAGAACTCTTTTATCTTTCGCATATCGTTTCCAAGTAGACGAAATGTTCGACGTAGGGGATGTTGATCGTTTTGCTCGTTACCGCCGGGCGGATTCGAGCCAGTGGAGTGTGCACGTAATAAAGGCACTTGAATCTTACGTATAACATGTCTGCAACGTAACATCTTTCAGACCAATATGTGGTACTTAAGGGTTTAGTTTATTTTAATTCATTAAATATTGATTGTTAGGCTATCTCATAACGTTCAATGGAAAACAGCTGATGAAAATGGCTCGTTGCTCTGTTAACCTTAACATTAGCCTAAAATGTTAACAGTCGTTCAAAAAACAACTTGTTCAGTTGCAATATAAATAAGTGTACGCCAAAAATTGCTTGCGAATTTAAATGCATTGGTAGAAATACATGCAAACCTAGCTTTTCTTAAAATAATTTTATTTCAAAATCAAAATTTACAAAAAATTTTATGGCACCCACAATCAGTATCGATAATTGTGGCGTCAGAGTAACTAAGTGTCAAAACTATCGGCCACCACTAGTGTCTGGCATTACTTGGCAATTTTGTATGCCGAGTTTAGAAAAAATATTAATATTAAAACAAACAGTAACTATACGCAAATTGCAAGTGCTTTCAAAATGACAACCGCGGCTGTTGATACTGTCTCACAAGACATCGACATGGAGGTGGATGCCACAGCTGAAACATTGGCAGATGAAAAGAAGAATCAAGATCTTGCTGCTGTGCAAGAACTTCGCGAACAAATACGCCAAATCGAAAAGTCGGTGGCCTCTAAGGAATCACGGTAAGTGGACAATTGAAGCAGTAATATTTGAGCTTGCAGCAATCAAAAATGTTATGTTAAAAAAAAAACCAATTTAGTTTCATCCTGCGCGTGCTGCGCAATTTGCCCAATACACGACGGAAATTAAACGGCGTCGTGTTTCGGAACCTGGCCCAGAGCATTTATCCCATTGGCGCTGACCGTGAGGGAGCCTTGGCACTTACGCCAGCACTCGAAAAAGATGCAGCAGAGTTGCCCGATGTGCCCAAAAAGCTGGTGGCAACAAAGGCACCTATTGCTGAGGTGGATGCGTACTACTACCTACTGTTGTTGGTAAAATTGATAGATGCTGGAGATTTGAAGCGTGCTGGGATTTGTTCGGATGCGTTAATGTCTAAAATATCGATACAAAATCGGCGCACATTAGATTTGATTGGCGCTAAGTCATATTTCTACTATTCACGCGTGGCGGAACTGAACAATGGATTGGAGGGAATTCGATCGTTTTTGCATGCCCGTCTTCGTACTGCGACGCTGCGCAACGACTTCGAAGGACAGGCTGTTCTGCTTAATTGCCTGCTGCGTAACTACTTGCATTACGCGTTGTACGACCAAGCGGACAAACTAGTCAAGAAGTCGGTGTATCCCGAATCGGCCAGCAATAATGAGTGGGCACGTTTCCTCTACTATTTGGGTCGTATCAAGGCCGCCAAGCTTGAGTATAGTGATGCCCACAAGCATCTGGTGCAGGCGCTTCGTAAATCACCACAACATGCCGCAATTGGATTCCGCCAGACCGTGCAGAAACTGATCATTGTTGTGGAACTGTTGCTGGGCAACATACCCGAGCGCGTGGTGTTTCGGCAGGCAGGTTTGCGCCAATCTTTGGGACCGTACTTCTCGCTCACGCAGGCTGTGCGGCTGGGTAATCTGAAGCGCTTCGGGGATGTGGTCTCACAGTTTGGTCCTAAATTTCAGTCGGATCATACATTCACGTTAATCATACGGCTGCGCCATAATGTTATAAAGACGGCCATTCGCTCGATTGGACTCTCCTATTCTCGCATCTCGCCGAAAGATATAGCCAAGCGTTTGATGCTTGACTCTGCAGAGGATGCCGAGTTTATTGTATCCAAGGCTATACGTGATGGTGTTATTGAAGCCACCTTAGATCCGGCACAGAATTATATGCGCAGCAAGGAGAGTACCGACATATATAGCACACGCGAGCCTCAGTTGGCTTTCCATGAACGTATTTCGTTTTGCTTGAATCTACACAATCAGAGCGTTAAGGCTATGCGTTATCCGCCCAAATCTTATGGTAAAGACTTGGAGAGTGCCGAGGAGCGACGTGAGCGGGAGCAACAGGATTTGGAGTTGGCAAAAGAGATGGCCGAAGATGATGAAGATGGTTTCTAAACGCTAATTGTGCACTTATTTCCATAAATACTTACATTAATTTTTCATAGATGTGTGAACGATTATCATAATAAAATTAATTTCCGAAATTTGTAATCCAAGATTTCGAATTTGTTGGCCACTATTTAAAAATTATGCGGGGCTTTCCCTTAAGTATAAATTCTTCGTTTCTTTTGTTTACTGAGAATATCATCGCAATATCGAATTTAGTGAGTCGTTAAGTAAGCGATGAAAGCGTTGTTATTCTATTGTAACACAAAATGTTTAGTACATAAAATTAATTAAATATTTACTTATTGCAATTATTTATACCTTTATTTATTCTTTGAACAATTTTTATAAAACTAATTTAGTAAGTATATTTAAGTAAAACTATTCACAATAGTTAGTAGCGGCTTTGCACTATCGATAATAACGCACGCTGCAAAGGTGAAACCTATCGAGCATTCTGAAGCATCGATACATGTTTGCAATATCAACAACCCTATCTAGTTGCATTATTCTTGGAGCAGAAAGCAGAAAATTTTTGTGAAAACACCACGCAGCGAAAAATGTAAAGTGCGCAAATGTGAAAAGTAACAAAAAAAGAAGAAGCAAACTATGAACTTGCAATTTGTGTTCAGATAGTTAATAAGGAGTGCATGTGCGCGTTTATTGTTGAAAAACTACATGCAAGTAACCAGCAGCCACAGCATTCTGTGGCAGCGACTCGTCGTCCAGTAGCAGCGAGTAAATTGTGGAGTCTCTCTGGCCACATTGGTGCACTAGCGCCCGCAAATGTATGCGACAAACTAGTAGTGGGCAGCAGCAGCAGTCGTTGTCGTCTTTGTGAAGCATCAAACGCAAAAAAGCAAAGGAAATAAATAAACGCCAAAACAACAGAGTGAGAAAAAAAACGTGCGTAAAAGTTAATTAGCGGCCGCCAAGCAACGAGCAAACGCAGAAGCGAGTTGAGGAGCAACAGCAGCAGCTGCTGCTCTATACAAATCGACAATCGACATTATTGTTGTTGTTATTGTTGTTGCTGTTGTTGTTGTGGTTTTTGCACCCACCACACGTAACTAGAGCAGCAGCCACTATACACATACTCACACAGCCACACTAAAACACACTTACACATACAGACTAACACACACAGACACAATTACACACACACACACACACCCCTACGTATAAACACTCCAGGCTAGACTTCGTAGTAGATGCGTGCGTGCCACAACAAAATTGGAAATGATTTGTCCAAAAGACGTCCTACAGTGGTTTAAGACTCTGGAGAGCTATAATCGCATTGATACCATGTGTTCATTGTTCGAGGCATGCTTGCCGTTCGAGTTGCGGTTTCTGGGCACTTTTTTGGAGGAGCTCGGTCGAAGGGATTCACCGGAATTGCGGGGCATGGAACTGCGTGCCAATAATCCACAGGATCTGGCTGCCGATATGCACAATTGCCAGAAGGGCGAGCCAACAGATAAAAAGATCCGCCGCAAGATGGCGCTATATTTAGCGCTAATACGTGCCTGCAATCGTAATTGTGTGACAGAAATATTTCGCACCCTCGAATGTTGGGGCGAACGCGATTTTGCCAGCATTAACGATCAGGATACGTTCCTGGAGCTGTTGCTGGTTTATACAATGGCTGCCAAACATCCTGTCTTCTCATACCACCAGAACACAAAATGCGGCGAGATTCTGGCCAAGATTAAGGAAATCAAACGTATGGCGGAAGAAACGGCGCAAATCATAAACCAACAGCAGCAACAGCCACAGCCACAGCCGTCGCATCCACAGCATTTGCTGCATCAGCAGCAAACGCCACAGCCACAGCAGCCGCCACCGCCTTTCCATCATCCAGTGGTGCCAATGATGCAACCCCAGCAACCAGCGCCTATACTGTATCCACAGCCTTGGACCAAGGTAACAAATCAATTGCCCATAATGGTATAGTTCATCAAAAGAGATTTCATTTCATATATTTTCTATATGTACTTAATATTTTTCCGTGATACCTTGCAGATTATGCCCGGCACAGAAGTGGACGGCATGCAACATTTGATGCAATCCAACATCACCATTCCAACGGACTCAAATGCCATAGCTGCAGCGGCGGCGGCGGCAAGCGGTTGGTCCATGCGTAACACAGTGCCCTGCGCAGTGTACACAGTGCCGCCGCCACAGCCACAGAGCCTGGATCATCAGGTGCCGCCACAAGCCAGCTCTCCCATGTTAAGCAGCCAGCAGTCATCGCCATCGACCAGTCGCACCACCAGTCCACAGCGTGAGCGTGGCAGCAGTGCTCCACTGCTGCAGCAGCAGCAGCCACAACAACAGATGCGCAGCTTGCCGCTGCGCTTGCCGAACAGCGTCAAGCATTCGCGTCGGCCCTCTGTGGAGACAACGCCACCGCCAACGTCCACATCCGTTGGCAGCGTAGACGCTAATTTGACGTCACAGCATGCCAAGCATTTTGACGAGGTGGGTTTATGAATCATCAAATCAACAGAGTCACAAACAATGGAGAAATATGTATTCTTGATCAGCGCTGACTGCGCCTCAGAATTCTTGTTGCCAGCTGTTTGCTGTTCAGAATTGATATAGAGGTTTGATATGAAGTTTGCCAATCTCTCAATTCAATCTGCTTATCTAAGGACAGATAATTAGAAACTTGATATAATCTGACGTTCATAACGCGCTTTTGATTTGGAATATATTTTTCTGTTGAATTAAAGCCTTTCTGTATAGATAAGAGAACGGTTATATATACCAAATCATTAAGCCAAACATATAATCAAAATAATACTTAATAATATATTTGTGTACATATGGTTGCAGGGCATCAGCGAAGGCGGCGGCAACCCGGTAGGCGCCAGCTTATCTAGTATTATACGCAACGCAAGTTATCCACGTGTGTCGCATCAGCGTATCAATGCGAATGCATATATGCCCCCTCACCAGCAGCAGCAGCAGCAGCAGCAGCAGCAGCAGCAGCAGCAACAACAACAACAGCAGCAGCAACAGTCGCCGGTAAGTCAAGATCCACAGCAGCAGCAGGCGCAGCAGCAGCAACAGCATTATCAGATGAACAGCTTTATCAAGGCGAACTCACTGGTCCACTCGATGCATAATATGCACATAAATGATGATGGCAGTGGCTCGACGCGAATGAATTCGAGCAAAAGTGCGGCAACTACAAGCAGCGAATCGGGCTGCTCGAATGGCTCTTGCGGCGAGACAACGCCACCGGAAACGCCTACGCCCACGATGGCCAATCATACAGTGGGCATCGGTTATCAGCAAAAGCATCATCTTAGCAATAAGCAGCAGTCTAGCCTACAGCATCGTCTCAATGGCCGCAATGGTGTGGAGAAGAGCTATCAGCAAATCTATGCGCCGAGCAATCCCAGCGAGCAGCAGCAGCAGCAGCAACAGCAGCAGCAGCAGCAGCCGCTGCTCATGAGTCCCTCTGCTGTTAATACGCCACCAACACCAGTGCTGCTGCAGCCACAGCAACAGTCGCAGCAACAGCAGCAGCAACAGCAACCACAGCCACCGCCAGCAGCGACAGCGTATAATGCGCCAACATATCCATATCATGCGGCAAGCGGACGTGGGCCGCAGCCAGCATTGATAAAGCCGCATCATCCGCCGCCGCCGCCACTCGCGCTGCACAATTCCATACGCGTTCATTACCAGCCTAACGGTGACATCATCTTTCCGGGCTATCATCATGGTTTGACGTATCCTGTGCCCGTTACAGCACCGCCAGCTGGTGCACCCACAGCTGTAACGGCGGCGCAATTGGTCCGCAATACGGCGGCCGTTGTCAGCACGAATTCAGTGACAGTGCAAACGCAAACGCCCGCCACACAGCAGCAGCAGCAGCAGCAGCAGCAAATATTAGCTGCAACAGTTGCGCCCACGCCGTATGCGACGTTAGGTGTTTGCCCCATAACTGGAGCGAACAGCGCTGTGGCACAGAAGATCATCTCCTGCTACAATTGCGGCTCACAGACGCACAGCGGTCGCGACTGCCAGGAGGCGTCCATGGAGGATGTGACGCGCAGTGCCAACTACAAGCTGGACTTCAGTACGTCGAACAATGCCAGCGGCAGCATCGATGGCGGCAACCCAGCCGAACACAAGGATGTCGGCAGCATCTTGAAGAATGTGGCAGCGACAACGCCAACGGCAACTGCAGCAGCAGCATTGACCAGCATGGGCAAATAAACCATGTATAATACAAACACACAGATAAATATATATATTTATAAATATATATATCATTAAAACATATATATAATTAATATACCTACTGTAATTCTTAACTACTTACAATTGAACATTTATAACGTTTGTAAAAGTGCGGAAATCAAATTTCACGCCTTTAGCCACGTCTCTTAGTTGTTTAAGACATTTTTGCAAATTGCGTTAGCCAGAACAAGTCGCCTAAACTAAACAGAAAAAATAACAAAAAGCAAAAAAAAAATATTATAAACAATTAACAACCTTGCACACCACAGGGAAATTATGCAGATAGTAACTGTAGTTATATACATACATATATATATAGATATATATAAAAGATTATTATTAATATTGTATAATTGCGCGAACTATACGAATATTTCTACCATTTAAGTTGTACGCAAAACAAATAGGAGAAAAAAATAACAATACAATGACGAGCAATAGACAACAAACAATTTACATTACTCTAAAATCAATGAAAACACAAAAACAAAAAAAAAAACATAAATTAGTTAAAGCAGCTGTTAAACGTAGTAATTATCGAAAATATAATTGAATAGATATTTGCCTGGGCAAAGAGTAGTAGGAGAAGGAAGGAAGGACTTCACGCTCTGTGTGTGTTCGTTTGTGACATAAGAAATATCCATTTGTAATTGCGAAAAATAACTATATAATTTGTAAGCGCAAAAACAGAAATAAGAATTAATAAGCAGCAAGATAAAAGAGAGAAAAAGCGTGTAAAACAAAATGTAGCATTACAATAAAATGTTAGCGAATACCCTATAAAATGTGTATAAACAGAATGAGCGTAGTGCGGCACATACACACACACACACATAGACACACACACACATGCATACATACAAACATACTCCCACTCGCGCACGCATACACACACACACTTGAGAGAGTGTGTGTGTGTGTGTGTCAGCGAGCGAGTTAATGTGCTTAGTTAACGTTTACTATTAATCTAATTATAACTAAATTTATTCATACTAGTAATTATTTATTTTATTTGCTGCTCCTTTGTTTAAACAGATTTCAGCATTGGTTTTTACATTGTATTATATAGATTATATATATATATATATGACTATATACCTATACACACACACCCTACATCTTATTGAATATGGCGTATATTATGTATAAAACGCGTTACTTTATTTTATATATATATTTTTTTTTATAAATATATTTAACCTCTGACTTGACCATAAGTAAAATAACATATATATATGTCTTTATATATGGTATATGGCCAAGTTGAGATTTCTGTAATGGCTAAGATCACGCCCACAATTAGAACATAATTGCCTGCGTTTTTTTCTTGTTTTGGTTACGTTATGTAAAAACGTTGTTACCTTTTTTATGGAAGCAAAAGAAAAAACTTACAAAGACGAAATTAAGAAAAAGCTAAAAAAAAAAAAACAAAAACAAATCAAGCAACAGCAAAAAAAAACACAATATTGAAATGAAATGAAATACATTATTAAAAGAGTTTCTGCTAATGCGTAAGTGCATGACAAACGATTATTATATTTCAGTGAAAAATAAAAAAAAAAACAAATTGTTTCTTAAATTCGTGTAAAAAACACAAAGCTACAAAACAAATGTATTTTTCTTTTCGCCTCCATCCTAGCGCCCATTCGCAGTCGACTATAAAATACCTTGAATATGCAGATAGATACTATGCTATATATCTATAGACCATTCTCCCATTCATTGTTATAAAATTGTGTGTCAATTCCAAGCGTTAATATACGTGCTCTCTGGGTATACGAACACATAGATATCTATATGTATGTATATGTGTGTGTGGATACTTTGGGGCAAACAGTGCATGGTGAGTATGGATCTTGAGGGCTCCTCTCTCTCTGTCTAAGCATAAACTAAACTCCATTTAGAGTGTACGTTCAAAATACATACTTGTCGAACTAAGCAGGCGTCCACTCTTAAAGTACAGTGTGTGTTGCCTAAAATGACTAGCTATATTAAATACATATTAAATGCTTTCCATAATTTAATTTAATTTAATATGCATATAAATATTTTTTTTTTAATTATTTGTTTTTCAATTTCTTAGTAAAATATTCTATAAAAATTAATTGCAGTATTTAATATTTTCTATAATTTAATGTAATTTAATAAGCATATACAAATTTTTTAAATTATTTTTTTATTTATTTCTTAGTAAAATATTCTATAAAAATTAAATACATTTTAAATACTTTTTATAATTAAATTTAATTTAATATGCATATAAATATTTTTTTTTAATTATTTTTTTTTTATTTATTTCTTAGTAAAATATTCTATAAAAATTAAATACATTTTAAATACTTTCTATAATTAAATTTAATTTAATATGCATATAAATATTTTTTTTAATTATTTTTTTTTTATTTATTTCTTAGTAAAATATTCTATAAAAATTGTATTTTTTTAAATACTTTCAAATCAAGTTTTCCTGCTTTCTGGCCATTTCAAAACTGTTTATAACATAATATATATATGTATATATATGTATATATATCGCTTATATTAGCTTAGACTAAGCTATCAGTTCACTCTAGTTCACTCTAGCGCGCGTTCACTGTACCTATGGATACAAGAAATAATTGTTGCGCCAGAGCTCTCGTATGGCACAAGCCCAGTCCAAAATGTTGCTTAGACATATCATCGTATTGCAACGAGCCCATGGCAAGCACACATATGAGGATGGAGCGGCAGCAGCTGGGCCTGACAGATGCGAGGGGGTAGCAACCGTGGCGTTCTCTCAAGCGTTACAGTTTTGGCTTGTCGTAACGGCAAGTAGTCTTCAGTTGTGCATAGACCTGGATCCGGTGTAGATTGTTGTGCCACAAGCAGCAGCGCCCAGACCAAGATAGCCAAGTTAACAGCTGAATATAGCAGTGGGTCCAAAGTCTATTGCTAAATTCAGAATCCCGTTCTGGAGCAATTAGTTTCCAATTATTTCATGGTGATATTTTGGAATATTTGCGGCGTTAGTCAGATTCGTATTTGGGGCCGCTTCGACTGGGCTTTTTGGTGTTTGCTCATGCATGCAGTGTGGTAAGTTGTTGCCATTCGGACCTCAACTCCGCCCACGTCGTCGAGACTAAGCGGAAAAACTAAAGGAAAACTCAAAACCGAAAGCCTAAAACGAAACTGAAAACAATGCTTAAGGCCGTAAAGAAAACGACTGAGGTAAACAAATCGAAATTAAAAGTTACGGCTAGCAATGACTGCGAGAACAACAACAACAACAACAACAACAAGAACAACAAGAGCACCAACAACGACAACAACAACGCCTCTGAACTGGCCATAAAACACGGCTCCGTCACTGGCCAGAAGCCGGAGCCCGTTCCAAATGAGAGTCCCCCACTGAAGAAGCTGAGTCTGAAGGGCAACCAGCTGTGCGGCAGCATTTTAATAGGCAATTACAATGTAAGTCTCGGAGGCGCATAGCTCTCATAAGGCAGAACTTTACCTTAGCTTATCTAACGGCAGTACCTGACCCAATTGGAGGTGTGCGAAAACGAAATGGAAGTCTTGGATCTGAGCACCTTGGCACAGTTGGAGACACTGAAGTGCAGTCGCAACAAGCTGATTGAGCTCATCATCAATGGCACCAATCTGCAGACGCTTATAGCGGATCATAACTGTACGTATTGCAGAGATCAAACTTTTGCCTTTGTTCTCTGATCTCTTTAACTGCATTAAGCCCTTCAGCTCATGTCCATATTTATTAATTGCTTCCCTGTGCCCCAAAGGTCTGCAGAGCATCTCCATAGCGAAGTCGGTGCCACAGAAGCTGCTGCAGCTGGACGTCTCGCACAACTACCTGAGCACGCTGCCCCCATGGATTGGCGGCTGTGTGGCCTTGGACACGCTCAGTGCAACGCACAATCATCTGAGCCACATCAAGGAGCTGCTCAGGAACTATCGCATCAGCTGCCTGCGCTCGCTGAATCTCGCCTACAATGGCTTGCAGCAGCTGGACTATTTGCCCGAGGCCTTCTGCAGCGTGCGGCAGTTGCAGCTGCAAAGCAACGAGCTGCAGCGGCTGCCCGACAACTTCTTTGCCGTAACCCACGCGCAGCTGAGCTCGCTGAACGTCTCTTGCAACCGCTTGGCCCAGCTGCCGCGCTACGAGCAGAACAACAACGCGGCACTGGAGCAGCTCTGTCTGACGGGCAACCAGCTGAACGATAGCATTTTCGAGCCGCTGTTGCACGCGGGCCGGCTGAAGGTGCTGCGGCTGGCACACAACCGGCTTGGCGTGCTGCCGGCAGAGTGCGTGCGCAACTGGCCGGAGCTGGAGGTATTGGTGCTCTCGGGCAACATGCTGCAACAGCTGCCGGATCAGGTGTCCAGCCTGAGTCAGCTCAAGGTGCTGCGCTGCTGCAACAACCTGCTGCTCAGCACGCCGCAGCTGTCGAAGCTGAGCAAGCTGAAGATACTGGACCTGGCGCACAATCACTTGGATCGCATCAATCTGCTGTCCCTGGTGCCGTCGCGCAATCTCAAGTACTTGGATTTGTCGGGCAACCTGCAGCTGCAGGTGGATGAGCAGCAGCTGAAGGTCTGCCAGACGCAGAGTCAACGGGTCTGGAGCTTAGTCGACGTCTCGGGCAACAATCGCGCCGCTTTGCCCACCAGCACACGACGCCTGCCCATGGAGTATAACAAGGGGCCTGTGCACAAAGCCAAGTCGCTGCCCTGGTCCTTGGGCTTTGCCGAAACGCCTGGCGACTTGCGCAAGCTCCTCGTCACGCAGCTGCGCGCGAGCCAGTTCAACGGCAGCGAAGAGGCGCTCTTTGGCATGTTCGAATCTCAGACCGATGCCCGCCAGGCACAGCAGATGGCTCAGCTGGTGCCTGGACTGCTAAAGCAGGAGCAATCACTGAAGGAGTCGCCGCTCAACGACTACATGAAGTACACGCTGCTGACGGCGCAACGGCAATGCGGCGGCTGTCTGCGCAGCGCCACGCTCCTGCACCTGCTGCGCCAGCCCTCGAAGGTGCGCGCACTCAAGTCCAAGCGTTACGTCTTGCGCCTGGCCCACCTGGGACACTTTGATGCGTACCTAGTGAGGCGCACAACCCACCTGCGGCTCACAGAGTCGCAAGCTGACTGCGATGGCCATAAACGCAGCCAGACTCTAAACACGCTGCCCGATCCAGACCTGCTCGAGGTGAGTTCTAGCTACAAGTTCAAATAGTCACATGCATAGCAATGATGGCATATGGTATATTTATTCTTAGAGACATAGATATTTGACAGAAATGTAGACAGATATATTGTGAGATATATAGACAGATATTTGGACAGAAATGTGGACAGATATGTGGACAGATATATGAACATATAAGGACAGACATATAGATATATGGATAGATATGAGGACAGATATATGGACATATATGGACAGATATGTGGACAGATATATGGATATATATGGACAGATATGCGGACAGATATGCGGACAGATATATGGACATATATGGACAGATATGTGGACAGATATATGGACATGTGTAGACATATATTGGCAGATATGTGGACAGATATATGGACATATGTGGACATATATGGACAGATATGTGGACAGATATGTTGACAGATATATGGACATATATGAACAGATATGTGGAAAGATATATTGAGAGATATATAGACAGATATTTGGACAGATATATGGTTATATATGGACAGATATATGGACATATATATGGGCAGATATATGGGTAGATTGATAGACAGCAAGAGAAACACACATAGAATAATAATATTGCATATATATAGAAACATATAGAATACATATAAAATAGATAAAGAATGCATGTAAACAGATATGTAGAGAGAAAGGTAGACAGACAGGCTGACATATAGAAGACATATAAAATATATGTAAACGTGATACAGAATATCTATGGAAGACTACTTCATATATGCATATAATTGCTTCTTAAAAGATTTACACTTCAGTAAATAATATACACTTCCTGTTCATTAAAATGCCAATCTAATGCAGATAACGCTGAGCAACGATGATGAGTACTTGGTGCTGGGCAATGATCAGTTGTGGACCGTCATGGATATTGGGCGTGCAGCCCGGGAGATACGGAAGGAGGAGAATGCCTTGTTGGCCGCCAAGCGACTGCTGGAAATAGCTCAGAGCTTTGGTGCGACTGCAAATCTTAGCGTGATTGTAGTGCGCTTCAGTCATCTGAGCACCGATGTGGATCATCTGATACGTGAGCTGAAGCAGAGCGTGCGTAAGAAACCAGCGCTGGTGTCGCCGCAGCCGTCGGCCAACTTGGCCGTGAGCAAGCGCACCTGTTGTGATCGGAGCAATGCCTGTCGGCATCGCACCTTGGAGCAGGAGCTGCTGGCTGGACGTTCCTCGCCCAGCGGCCAAAGCAATCCGGACTTGTTGAGCAAGGATGCACCTGTGGCCAAGGATGAGTTTATATTGGCGCATGCGCGCGTGCTGCAGGAGGAACAGCAGCTGGAGATGCTAGACGAAACGGAGTCAGTTCTATCCGAAGAGCAGTTCAAGTGCTGGGAATACATGCTGGAGCAAAACACACAGCTGCTGTTCGACAAGGAACTGAACACCATCTCGAAGTCGTTCTCCAAGCAGCGGCTGCCCACAGCTAAGCTGACAGCGGGCGATAGCAACGATCTGAAGTCGAATCTCATCCGCAACGTGACCAACAAATTTATCTCGAGTAGCACGCCCCAGTTGACACAACCGCATGCCCCTTTGAGCGCCTATCAGCACATGAAGCAGCTACCCACCGAATACTTTGGCAGCATGCGCTCCTTCCAGCAGTCGCCCAACTATGGCTACAATCTCTTCGATGGCAAGTCACGGGATGCCTATGCCAAGCTGGGCGGCGGACCACATGCCGCCTACTTTGGTTCGCTGCAGCGACGTATGCCTTGCAATTTGGAATATGATTTCCCAGTTACGCAGGAGAGAGATCACAATATTTTAGATGAGGAGGAGCTGGACGAGGATGGCTATACGGAGCATGAGAGTCGCATGCGCAAGTACTGGGGTGTGGCAACGACAGAGCTATAGGAGCAGGACGACCAAATAAATCTCCATACCTATACTACATCTAGGTAAAGCAATTTATATGAAAAGAGTAACGGTAGGAAAGCTGCAAGAAAAGTTTTATAAACATTTTATAAAATAAAAAACTATATTATAAAAATATTATAATAAAATTGTTTTTATTATCATTTAATTTACTATGATTCTCTTTCAGTTAACGTTATTTATTAGCTGCTTTCAAAATAACTGTAATGAATCCATAGCCCTCTATGGATGAGGAGCATAAGCTGTGGCCAAGCAAGCAGTTCTTAAAATTGAACAGAGTAAGCAGTTAACATTGCACTGCTTTGTTAGAATAGTTTTTTTTATTGGCGATAGAGGGCTTAAAACAAGATATGAACTGCTTGACAGCTTGCGCTGTTTGTGGATAGATGGCACGAGCAGCAACTTCAGCTATTTGGTGATAGAGGGCTCACATTAGCTTCATGTATGAAACAGCAGAAAAACTTCACAGAGTTAATTAATTAATAGCAAAATAAGTTGTAGAATATATCTATTTAGAATTCAAGGAAGTTGCTTTGAGTTTATAATTTAAATTTGTGAAATTATAATTACAATTTTTGATCTGATTACTCAATGTGACATCAAATAAGCCCGAGCAAGCAAAAGTGCCCATTAAAATTGAGAACTTAATTTAACAAGCATATAACTCGCGCATACACACACACGCAAATGTACACATATTGAAACGCGTACGCACTTAAGTTTATCCCTGTAATAAGGACACTCCTTAGACATATATAGGCAGCGACTTGCACCCCGTATTTGTAAGGTCACTGAGGCGAATAATTCATGTCAATATCAGAACTCATTTACTTGCGGTTGTTTTTAGCGACGCGTTGCGAAAGAAAATTCATCTAAACGGCAACGACATCAATGGGGCGAATGCTGCAGAGGGGGTGAGTGGGGGGGGGGGGGGTTGCCAGAGAGATAGATTTGCGTGTGGCTTTCTAATCATTTCGAATCGCTCAAGTGTATTACCGTTATAGGCCGCGTTAACAAGGCGAGCGGCTGCAAATATGAAACTTTTGTTAAAGCACATCCGCTATCCGATCCAAAGTAGTGAATGTTATAGAAGTCTATTACTCAAGAGGCCGGCGTCTAATTTTAATTACTTTTTCAGTCTCATTTACTCACACTTGTTGCCCATCAGTTAAAACTTAGCTTCAACTCGAACTGAAATGACAACTCCATTTTCATTCAGCTTTGCCCAACCATTTTCATTTTGGCACATTTTCCACTTGAAAGACCGCCTGCCCTCTCACTGATGTCTATCACAATGCCCATTACAACTTATTGCTGTGGCTACTTTTAATACACCAAATTAACTTTTTGGGTCTTCGCCACCCTCACAACAAGCGCCACGATTTGTCACCAATCCGCAGACGATGTGGACGCGGACGCGGACTTTATCTGCCGTTTATCTCGCTAGTGTTGATAAATAGCTTTGCGGTAATTAATTTGGCGTGAATGCAGCACAGGAAATAGAACGAAAATTAACTTGAAAGCCAAGTCTAAATAGATAAAAGTATAAAAAATATAGAAATAAATAGAGAACGTTTTGACAGTTGAAAAAACATACAGTAATATGGTATAAATATGCTGATAAGTAGTGCTGAGCTCTGCGCTTCTCAGAGGATTAGTGTGAATTGAATTGCTGGAGGAGGAGAAGGAGCAGCAAATGAAATTTAGTAGCAGCAGCTAGAGAGACGATGCGATGGAGCTCAACAACAATAGAAGCAGAGCAAATGCCAAGCAAAGAATAACAATAAATATATTTTTTAATAATAAAAATAAACTTTTAAAAGAAAGAAATGGCAAGTGCTTCTTTAACTAAATTTGCAATTCTGAAATTATTAAATCACTTTTCAGCTCTCACATAAAAAACTAAATGAGTTTCTAAAATATCAGCAACAAAGCGTAGGCTAAGCGAGTATAGTGTGAATAATTCAATTGCATTTCGAAATCAGTTAATAAAGCAGCTGCGCTGTGCCGTTAGGAACGGATGCTGTTTTACCTGGTAAATGCTTAGGCTGCCTAACCTAACCTATCAACACACATCCTGCTGCCGTTCAGACACCTCCGAAACTTTTCTCATTATGTGGATCCACACGCACATGGCATAGGAATTGCTGGCTGCGAACTTCCTGCCAGAGTCCCGTCAGGCAGCTACCTCCCCTCACCCCCTCACCCATTCACCCACTCATCCTCTCAGCCTGCCCGCCACAATGCCTGTGCAACGCATCGGCGCTTTCAATGACTTCCGTCATCGCCGACACACTCGACGTGTAAATTTGCATTTGCTTCTAATTACGAGGAGTAGAAATAGTAAAAGTGGAAAGAAAAACTACAGATGCTGGCTGCCACGCCCTGCAGCCCGCATTAGCAGCAGCAGCAGCAGCAGCAGCAGACGCTCGTGGCAATTGCAATTTAGAATTTCAATTATATTTATATTTTTATGAGGGCTGCCCAACCACCCCGTGGCAGCACTACAAATCAAGTGCCACGCACGCAAATTTCCTTTAATTAAAACTAAACTTTTAAGAGTTTCGCCTACGGCTGCTGCTACAGTTGTATTTGTTGCCACTCGACTTGACGCCAACTTTTACCTTTCTCTTAGACTAAAGTCCAAAAATAATGATGCCAGCTCAAGGTGTCTGTGTGCTTGAGTGTGGGTGTGCCCAGGTGTGTGTGCGTTGAGCATAAAAACTTTTATTCAGCGTACTCTCTGAGTAGTCTCCTGAGTAGTCTTCAAGATATGAAATATTTCTGGTTATGAACTGTTTAGCTGCTAGAGTAACTCAGCTTCCCATCATCTTATCTCACCTTATCTTATTTTACACAATAATTAGAGAGCTTCATAGAATCTAGTAACTTTAAGCTGTACTATAATAGTGAGAGTATTATCTAAATTATTTAGCTCTTATGTCAGAGTCTCACAATCTGAAGTTGCGTTTTGTTAACTTAATGACATCTGAGAATCTTGTAGCTCTTTCTGCTCTGTAAATTTGTCGAATATATTGAAAAGAATTTTGATTTATTATCAAGCTGAGCAGCTGCCTAGACACCTTGCTGCATCTGCTTCACATCTACTTAGTCCTAGCTGAATCCAGACTCTAGTGGAGTAGTGCTTCCAGATACATTGCTGGTCTTTTGATGCCTACTTTCTGCCTTGTCTCAATGAAAATTTGATTTGGTGTTAATTATTAACTGATGCTTCCTTAAGTTTTCTCAAACTTTGAGTTTTTTAGCTGATTCTTCCTTAAGTTTTCTTCATATTTGAGTTTGTTTTAAATATTAACTGATTCTTGCTTAGGTTTTCTCACATTTTGTTGACTTCTTTCATTGTTATTTAATTTTTAAAAATACTTTTAGTGCTTGTAGAACTTGACCTAAAAAGCGAAGCAACAATTTAGAGATGATAAATAAGCAAATATTTTTAAGCAAATATTTTTAACTAGCAATTGCAGTAAGGACAGCTCAAGGAGCCTGTAAAGAGCCGAGGCAGGCGTTAGCTGTTCGCCCAGTGCTTAGCCTAGTGTGAGCAGTTGGCTTGGCAAAATGGAATCAGAGTCGCAGCAGGCCTGGGGCTGGCTTCGAGCAGGCATGCCAGATTTGCAAGTCGGAAACGGGTCTCAAATTATTCCACATTTTCCAGTAGGCTGCGCAAATTGAAAATCGTTTATTTTGAGGAGCTTTGAACCATTTTACGTACGACATTTTATACAACACTTGTGATTTAGGCATTTTGCAAACAAGATACAAATCGAACTTTTTAGAAGTGCTAAGAAAACGGTCTTATAGACACAACCAACACTCTGATAGGAGCCGGTTGCACGTTAGCTTCGGACTAAAGCAGATGTTCCGTGCTGTGGGAGCTGGGGGCCATCCGTTGTGCAGCTATATTTCGGATGTGATCAATATATCATTGCATTGATTGACATACGCAACGATATCATTTCGAACATAATACCTGAGCACAATACTCCATTAGCAGACCCGACCGGCTGAGCTCCAAAGGTCTGTCGAACGGGCTTTCTCCCCTTAGCTGCTGTTTCTAATTTAATATTTTTCGCTTTGGCTTAGTGATATTTGCTTTAAATTTGTTCTAAGGGCGCAAAGGACTTGCTGCCATATGGAAGTACTAGCGATTGGCGATAAGATCAATATCAGACGATCCGACGGATGCATACAGTCCGCATCAGTCGGATTGAAGAGTGTCGAGCGACAGATTGTTACCGTTGAATGGACACAGGGCAGCAAGGTCAAAGGTAAGGAAATACCCTGGGGCGCCATACTGGAGCTCAATCCGTGTTTAGCGAAGGTCAAGCAGAAGCAACAATCGGCGCCCGATAAGAAGGAGCCACTCAAAACCGAGTCCAAGCCGCACAATCTCTCCGGCTACAATATGTACCGGAAGAAGCCAACCAACAGCAGCCCGTACAAGAAGCGCTTGCGCGCCGGCAATCGCTGCGATAGCGCCATCAATGTGCCGGCTTCCATCAAGGCAGCGCAGCCGGTTCATGGTGTCTTGGCCGTCACCCAGGTGAATACCGATCTGGGAGCCGTCAAGGGCACGTCGAGCATGAGCAGCATTAAGCGCTCGAGCGTTGTGCGCGAGGTGGAGCGACTGAAGGAGCAGCGGGAGCGTCGACGCGCCATCCAGGCCGAGCAGCGACGGGAGCAGAGTGCTCTCAAGAGCCGAGATCCGGGCAATCCCAACTGGGAGGTGGCACTGATGGTGCGCAACTATCGCGAGCAGCTGCAGTTCAATCCGCTGCGCTGCCTGAGTTCGCGCGGCGCACGCATCCAACAGATCACGGTGTGCGTGCGCAAGCGTCCCATGAGCCGGCGCGAGCTGCAGTCGAAGGCCGTCGACATTATATCGGTGCCCAGTCGCAATTCGTTGATCGTGCACGAGCTGCGCAACAAGGTCGATCTCACCAAGTTACTGGAGCACCACAAGTTTCGCTTCGACTACACCTTCGACGAGCTGTGCAGCAACATGCTGGTCTACGAGCACACGGCCCGGCCCCTGATACGCACCATGTTCGAGGGCGGCAATGCCACCTGCTTCGCCTACGGCCAGACTGGCAGCGGCAAGACACACACCATGGGCGGCGAGTTCTGTGGCAAGGTGCAGGACTGTACCACAGGCATTTACGCTCTGGCCGCTCAGGATGTCTTCGCGGAGCTGTCGAAGCCCAAGTATCGCGAAATGGGCGCAAGTGTTACGTGCAGCTATTTTGAGATCTACGGCAGTAAGGTGAGATCACAGTTTATCGATCGATAAGAGTTGCTTGGTTATCGATTGTTGACTAAATCGATAATGGTGCTAGTTTACAATGTGCACAAGTATCGGTAGTTGACTAAATCGATAACATTGCGAACTCAAAATTTGAAAAATATCGATAAATTACTTAATCGATGACAACATTGCTATCTTAGATTATAAGAAAGTATCATTAGTTAACTAAATCGATAGTTCACTAAATCGATAACATTGCAAACTTATATTGTGCAAATATATCGGTAGTTGACCTCATCGATAACATTGCCAGCTTATAATGTGAACAAGTATCGATTGTAGACATGATCGATAACATTGCTAGCACAAAATATGACAAAGTATCGATAGTTCAATAAACCGATAACATTGCTAGCATATAAGTTGAAAATGTATCGATAGCTTGATCGATAACATTGCTACCGTAAAATATGACAAACAATCGATAGTTCACTAAATCGATAACGTAGCTACTCTTGCTATTATTTATAATATTTTCAATTCCGATTTCATATAAAGCATCGATAGATCAGATATCATAAGCTATTACAAACGATCAGTTAATGATTTAGTTGATAAGTTTTCTAGATCGATAATCTCTCAGGATATGGTATTATTTTTCTCAAGTTAAATGAATTTATTTATATGTTCGATCTTAAACTTAGTAAACAATCGATTAGAATGTTGGAGATCGATTAATTTAGCAGCCTAACGAACTCATGAATTGCAATTAAAAACCCATTCAAACAGGTATTCGATCTGCTGCTGCCGGACAAGCCGATGCTGCGCGTCCTAGAGGACGGCCGCCAGCAGGTGGTGATTGTTGGACTGACCAAAATGCCGGTGAAGAAGGTGGAGGATGTGCTGGGAATTATCGAGCAGGGCAATCGGGAGCGCACCTCCGGCCAGACGTCCGTAAACATCAAGTCGTCGCGCTCGCACGCCGTCTTCCAGATGGGTCTGCTGATGCCCGATGAACTGGAGCCGTGCGGCAAGTGCTCCTTCGTGGATCTGGCTGGCAATGAGCGCGGCGCCGATACACAGTCGGCCAACCTGCAGACGCGTCGTGAGGGCGCCGAAATCAACAAGTCCCTGTTGGCGCTGAAGGAGTGCATTCGTGCTTTGAGTCGCCATTCGAGCCACCTGCCGTTCCGGGGCTCCAAGCTGACGCAGGTGCTGCGCGATTCCTTCATTGGGGGCGAGCAGAACAAGACCTGCATGATAGCCATGATATCGCCGGGCCTGAGCTCCGTGGAGAACACGCTGAATACCTTGCGCTATGCGGATCGTGTCAAGGAACTGGTGGCCAAGGAGGATGATCTAGCGGAAACTGACAGCGAGCAGCCAAACCCGAGCGAAAAGATGAGCAAGACCAAGCTCGGCTTGGGGTCCTGCCCCGGGACCGACACCGAATCGGACGAGTTCGAGCCGGAGCCCAGCGGCTTTGCTGACTTCAACTCAAGCCAAACATCAGATGGCAACAGTTCCTTTCGTAAATTCGATAGTAATCTAGACATGAGCGACGCAGACGGCGATGGCGACGCTGACGGCGACGGTGACGGTGACGGTGACGGTGACGGTGACGGCGACGGCGACGGCGATGGCGACCCTGAAGCGGGTCTCCAAATATCTGAGATTTTAATGCAGCACGATGTACTTTTTGAGTTTTTCAATAATTACAAGATGCATTTTGACGAGGCTGTTAACGAATCGACATCTCTTGGCAAGAATGATCGTATAACCAAATTTCTGCTGGACGGGGAGCCAATAATTTGCGAGCTGGAGATCCTGTTGAAGCACGCACATGTCCTCATCACCAACTACAATTCGCAGCGATTTTTGGACAGCGAGCTGACGGAGAGCGATGATGTGCAGCAGCTATCAGATTAGGGCTTCATGACTTAGGACCTCGCCAACAACATCAAAAACCATTTATTTATTTTATATCGTACTGTATTATTATTGCTTTGTGGATCTTCTAAATAATTATATAAATTTCTTAAGAGGCAGTAAATGCAATTTTAATTATTTCAGTGTGCGCAGTGTTAGGCCTTATGAAAGTGAACTGTGTGTGGAATAGAAGTATCTGGGATGAGTATGTCAGTAAGGGGCTTATAAGATACAAAGGAAAAGGATGTGTAAAATAAATATTTTGAAGCATTTGTGGATTCAGCTGCAGATCAGATAGCAGGGAATATGAGATAAAGGCATCTAGAATACCAAAATCAGAAGTATGTCTGTGTGAGTTAAAGATACAGAATCTGAGTAGCTATCAAAAGTATCTAAGATATCAAAATCTGAAATATGTCAGTAAGGGCTTTGTGAGATGCTGAGACAGCTACATATCAGATAGTTAGGAATATGAGAAAAAGAAACAGAATCTGTGACCTACAAAAGTATCTAAGATACCAACAGCTTAGCTAGAAATATATGCTTATAAAAAGCGAAAGTATCTGCCAGATACAGAAGTATCTCTGATGAAAAAGTAAGTGTATCTGACAGATACTTTGGCTTTTTGTCTTTTACAAATACTTGTTTCTGCTTAGCTTTTTCTAGCTCAGATACTTTAGTATCTGATACACATAGTTCTGTATCTCATATTCTTTACTATCTGAGCTGTAACTGAGTAAGAAGTATCTGTAAAATACAAAACTATAAGCTGCAACATGCTGATATGCCATACCAAAGTATCTCAGAGAGAGATACAAAAGCAACTTCACAGATAGTTTTTTAGAGCATCTTTTAGGTTATAGATATACCTAAAAGATGCTCTTAAAACTATCTGTGAAGTTTTGTAGCATTGCAGCTGTAAAGGTGTGTGTGAGATAGAAAAAATCACTTAGTAAAAAGTAGTTGAAGCCTAACAAATTTTGCTTTAATATTTGTGGAATGTAGAAGATAGAAATGTATCTAAGAAGCAAAACTATATATTTGGAACTGTCAACTACTCATGCTAGCTGATCTTATGCAAGTTAGCTAAGCTGTAAATGTAGTTATGAAATAAATCTAACTGATAAAGCTTAATAATCCAACTATAATTAAAGTTATGCTCTAACAATAATTTCCATTGAACATAGCTGAAATTTGTTGAATTTTCTCCTTTACTTTTATTGCTTTTTTCAGAAACTTGCTATGCTGCCTGGACAACTGTGGGAAGTGTAGCCCGTCACACATTTATCAAAAGTAAATTCAGTTTTTTTCCTACGCACATTTGTCGAAAGTGCAGTTGAAAGGACTTTCGCCGCCTGCCGCCTGCCGCACGGCCAGTGAAACTTTGCGCACAATGTGCTCAGAGCAGCTGAGATATGAATATGAGTTAGTCGGGTTTATCGCAATGCGAAACGTCTGCGCGATGGCAGTCAATTGCTCATTGACTTGGCACACGATGCGCCGGCTAGCGAGTTCTTAGAGCTGACTAGCTGTGAGCTAAGAGCTGAGCCGTAAGCCTTGGTAACATGCCAAAGCCGAGATGCAGCTGTGGCAGCGGCGACAACAAGGACAGGAACACGCGGATGAGTTCTGGGTGGGTTGCTGGAAAACAAAGTTCAGGGCAATAGATACGAGGCAGGAATGTGAGTTTTGGTTTAGTTGAAGTTTAGTTTACGTGCGCGTGGATTTCAAGCTGTGCGCGCACATAAGTTTGCGGCTTAAGCATGTGAAATTCATAAGAGCACAGCCGGATGGCAGCAAAACGAACTGCCACACATCGCCCCATCTGACGCCCCGCCCCTAATAGCTCCCCTCCACACATACACAGGCGGGCGAACTCGTAACCCTTGCCGCTTGGCTCGCGCTTTCACCTGTATCCGCATAAAATACAGCTCCGGCTAATGCATTTGCCAGCCACCTTCTAAATAACCCCAACGTACAACCCACACGCAACCAGGCAGCAGGCAGGCAGCTAGTCAAAAAGTTGCCACATGAAAAGTTTAAAATTAAATGTAGCTGGATTTTCTAGTTGAATTCCTTTTATTCCACTAACCCCTTTCACATGTGCTATAGATGAGCCAAAGAGGTGGGAAAATTAACTATGACAGGGCTTCGCTTGGAGCTGTAGAAGAGAATTACACTCGATGTTAGCTTAAATAATATATTGATAATTTAATAAGCATATGAATATTTTACCAATTTTATATTGCTTATTGTATTTTGAAAGAAAATTAAGAAAGCTGTAGTCGCCGCAGTGTCTCACTAGGAGACGCCTTAAAAGGGACGCGATTTAAGGCGTCTCCTAGTTAGTTCTTTAATATTTTCCTTACCTTATATCAAGCATTAAAAATAGGAAAACAAAAATCGAAATTAGAACACCAAGACTTGAAGCAACATGGCCTACGCAACCCGCATCAACTCTACCAACACCTCCACTTTATAATTAAATAAAGAACGTCCCTTCGCCTAGGATTGAACTGCACTGCACTGCTTGTTCAAGCAGTTGCAAATCTCAATTTGAGCAGTAGCTGAAAAGAATGCACGCACATGTGCACATGTATAGGAAAAATGCGTTCGATTTGAACTGCTTGCCACGTGCCTGTGCTCATTAGCCAAAGATTTTGTTTAATAACTTGTGTTTTACTTCAAGGATTTTAATTAAATTTTCAGCCAACTTGATGAACTTAATGAAAATGCAAACTCATTGCTTCGGTATCCAAAATATAACAAAAAATCAAAGTTGTATAAAATATACAATAAACTAAATACAGTTCAGGGCGTAAAAATAAGACTAAACAATAATTTATGTCTTACAATTTGTGTATACTTTATCAATTCTCCATCTGCATCTATCTGCTATAATAAGTAGCTTTTTTCGACTTCATTTCAGAAGTTTCTCGTCTCCAATGTTCAACCAAACGCCGCCTGCCGCGTGCCACGTCTAATTATGTTTTGGCTTAATAGAATATAATTTGAGCAAAATTATTGAAAATTGACGGTAATTGAAATGAATTTGTACAAATTTGAATGCATGGCCAAGTGTCGTGTTGGGCAACCATCAAAATGCCGAAAAGTGTTCAAACCAGACGATTCAAGTCAAGTCAAGTCGAGTCGAGTCAATGGCACGCGACATTGACTGAAGGAAAGGCTGCAAGTGGCGAAAGGACTGCAATTTGGGCTGGGTAGAAGGAAGCCAAGAGCGGCTATTACACATTTTACTTGAGCTGTGGAAATTATGGAGACCTTCCCTATGATTAAGCACAATGTTGTGGATTTTAGGATATGCTAAGTGTAAGGATATGTGCAGAATAAAGCAAAATGACAAACAGATTTCAAATACATCGACTTTTGACTTTCTCATATATAATTAAATATTTTTACCTATTGCTATGCAGCGAGTTGGCTTAAAGCTTCTCATTCGATGCGGTTCGTAAAGCTCTAACATTTCAAAATCTGTAATTGGACAAATTTAACAAACCTTACAAGCAAAACAGTTTCCACTTGTTGCCTTGATATAATTCTGTCTATATATATAAATATATATAAATGTATATATATATACATATATATATATTCGAGTGGTGCTTCCTTTGTTGCTCTGCTACTATGTGAAGGGTCGATTGCAAAATAAACTCAATAAATATAAAAATAAATTAACTGCAACTAAATGAGCCAAATAAATTCATTTACCGCTTACACGCGTCACTAGTGCTGCAATCTACGCTCTCTCGTGTCCCTCATTCAGCTCTTTGTCTCCTACTCCCTCTCTCCCCTTCTCGCTCTCTCCCTGTGTGTTTTCTCTGGCTCCCCTTCTCTGTACAAACACGTATCCACTAAACTCAATTGCCGGCGGCTACCCCAGCGCATTGGGGAGCAAAGCCAAGTGCAGTCTGCACTTTGGGGAATCCAAGCTGCCAAGATGACAACAAAAGCAATAACAACAACAAGAACAGCGACAAGATTGAAAGGAAAAAAAAACAACAATTGCCAAGGCGACAGACGAGAGTCGCATGGGTCACACTTTATCCGCTGCCAGCTGCAGGTGATTCCTTTGGAAGGAGTCCCTAATCTGCCCCAACAGTGACTGCTCCGTGGCTGACGGAATTTCGTTTGCTTGGCTCTTGTCAGGTAACTCTCAAAAGTATCTTTTAACTAATCCAATTGAGATTTTTTTGCGACTATACGTAAACATCTATAGTGTCATGAAATTTCAATTCGTTGCGATGAATATATTTGCAAGACATTTTTAAATCAACAATTTGTAAGGTGTTTTAAGAAGGTATTACATCTCTTTCTTGCATAGGTAGTAAAAAAACGATTGCAATTATGGATTGTAATTACATGAGCTATTTGTCTCTCTCACTCCCTCTTTAATTATGTCTACTCAGTGGATAAGCTACATTTCACTTCCCCATATGTACACTTCTTATCTACAATGATTGCTTTACAGTGCAAGCATACTAACATGAGATCAAAAACGAGAGCGGCGACGCATTCGCACTCATACTGCATATTGCGACTTTCAATAATCGAGTTATTTTCAACTCTCAGAATACGCTCTGCCGGCTCTGCAATCTCATCCCTAGTAGCCATCCTACTCGCACTTATGCAATACTTGCTCCACTGTATATGTAAGGAAATAAAGAGAACGGCGATAATGGTGAATGTAGATGGCTGAGTTGTCTCCTATGCTCTCTACTGCAATGGACACTCTACATATAAGCCTACCGTTATCTTTCACACTATTGCAAGCGATCATTCTCTTTTTTCCGAAGGGCGGTTGTCAGTAGTTCGCGAACTTTCGAATTGATCGCAGTCGGTGCGCATGATTTTCAAATGAAATATTCTTTTTTGTTTAAATATTCTTTCTTCGGCATATGAGTGGGTAGCCAAGGCGGTTGGCGCAGTCAGAAGGTCAGCCAAAATAGGCTTCATGTTTAAAGCGGCCATTGATTTGTGTTGTTGGCACATTTAGCATATGTAAGAGAGAGAGAGAAATACATGATTAGATAAAAAATATAA